AACTATTAAAGGGGGAGAATCCAACAGGTGCGATCCACGCACGTAAAATTAGACATAATGACGTGGATGATAAAAAAAACAAGCCCTTTAATTTGGTGTCAATGTGTAAATGGTTATGTTTTAGAGGAATGAAAAATCAATGTCGGTTACTAAATCCTTGCTTTTGTAAAGCTTGACATCGTTGTAGGCCCCTTTGTATTTGGTTGACCAAAAGAGATCAATCGTTAATTCGTTATGCAAAATTCTTTGATAAATTATTGATCTAAGAAATATTTAAGATGGTAAGATATACGTATTGAAAGGCTTCTCTATTGCAGCGAAAACCATCAATAAGATCTTGGCTTAGCAGTTTAAAATTAAGAGGCGGTAGAAATTAACCAAATTCGGCTAGATTCGACCTAATCCAAAACAGTTACAGATTAGGGATGAACAAATCGGGTACCCAAATAAAATTTTAGGAACCGAACCTGAATTGATTGGGATTGAGTCCTAATATTCGAAACCGGAATTGAAATTGGTTTAACCGTGTCCTAAAATTTAGGAATTGGAAATGGATTTGCTGATACCGGTTTCGATTCCGGGTACCCACTTATGTATATAATTGTTAAAATTTAATACAAATTATACTACTTATTTTAGTCTATTTTCATTTATTGTGTTTAATACTTATATGTACATGTGCATTAAGCTATTTTATTTATGTTAGGTATTAATAGTATTTTTTATTTATTTATTTTTTTAAAATTTTACTAACTAGACGCCTTCAACATATTTTTGGTTTTTTTTTTTTTTTAAATATAATTAGTTTAATACAAGTTGGGTAACCGACCTACCCAACTAATTCTGGGTCCAAAAATTTAAGAATTAAAATTGGAACCGGTTACAACCGGTTCATTAATTTATCACCCAAAATTGGAACCACCGGGTCCAATTTCAGTTTCGGATCCATCGGTCCCTGACCGGTTCCGGTTTCAATTTCAGGTACCCGAAATTTTTGCTCACCCCTAATACAAACACATGACTCAAATCTAAGTTAGACCCAACATTAATAGGACATTGTATTCAGTCACACCCCACATGAAAGCCCTTAGGCTTAAAGTTTGGAGTGCGGTAACATGTAGGGGTGAGCACGGATCGGATATCCATATCCGAAAATTCAGATATTTGATATCCGATATCCGATCCGAAAATTTTGAATATCTGATATTCGGATATCCGATATTTTCGGATATCTACCATCTGACTTTTTTATAATATACGAGTAGTTAAAATTCTAATAATTTGGCAAAATTTATTTGTTCTGTAAGACCAATTGATACCTTGACATTCATTATTGCAAGCAAAATCAAATTCGTAACTATTAACTACAATTATTCATATTTTTTTAATCTATTAATTCCACAAATTACAAAAATTGATAATTCCAAAACTTCAGAATCTAAAATCAAAGTATAACTCAAAAAAAAAAAAAAAAAAAAAAAAAAAAAAAAAAAAAAAGTACAACTCCCAGCAAGCAATTCTGTGAGGTGAAGCCACGAAGGTTGCGGTTGAGAAGATCTGAGCAAAATTCGGTTGAGAATACCGTGCTCAAGAAAGTACAACTCCCAGCAAGCAATTCTGATATGAAAAAGATGAACAAAGATCTATCTTTTGAGGGATTTTTGGAAGTTTTTAATGGAAAAGAAAAATAAAGATATGATTTTGGATCAAGATCTAAGAGAATAAGCTAAAATAATAATCAAACACCAAGTAAAATTATCTAGCAGATGACTTAATTCACTAGTCACAAAGTCTAATGAAATAAGGGTTTCAATTTTATCAATCACAAAATTTGATAAAAGTTGTGATTTTACCATAAAGGAGAGATCAATGACATTTATCATAAAGGAGAGATCAATGACATTGAAACCCTTGATTATATTTACCCGCACATGTCCAACACATTTTTCAAGCAGCTCAATGACATTCAAATCTTATGTAAATTCTCAAATATTACAACATAAAAATTTGAATAATGTTAAAACTCTAAAATCTGCATAAATTAAATTAAAAATTAAATTACTAACACAAATCCCAAATGAATTTAAAATAATTTTGTAAAACAAGTTCTAAAACAAAGTCACAAACTTATCAAACCTAAGTTTTAAGAAAAACTACAAATTCAAAAATTTGTCAAACCTACTTTCTAAAGCAAAGTCTTAATGCTAAGATGCAGATCTTATAAAAGGCTAAAACAATAAGCACCGTTATGCCTTTTCTTTTCACCTTATTCAAATAGTATTCAGTAAAAATAAGTTATGTTCAACAAAAATAAATTATATTCAACAAAAATAAGTAATTTTCAACAAAAATAAGCTTTAATCAGTAAAAATCAATAACTTTAAAGAGAAAACATAATAGAGATACAGTAAAATAAAATAAGTAGAGAATTAGTTAAATAAAATAATATAAGTTTTAATTAGTAAAAATAATTTCAATTTAATAATAATATTGTAATTTTAGTTAAAGTAATTTCAGTTCAGTAAAAACAATTTCAATTGAACAAAAATAAGATGAAGAGAATAGAGCCTTATAATAAAAGTTTAAAAGATCAAAACTTTTTATTAGACGAAAAAAAAAATCAAAACTTGAATAATGAAATTTTTTTTTTTTTTGGGAAATTCTCTATGGTAGCCCCCAGCACATTGAAAAGGTAGCCCTTTTTTTTTTTTTTTGTTTTTTTAGCCTAAAATGACCCCAATTACAAAATTATTCCACAATCAATGCAAATTTGGTTAAAAATATTAAGCATAGTTAGTAAAAAAAAAAACAAAAAAAGACAATAATGGCCCCACTAATACCTCCTCACAACCTCCACCACCACAATCACCCCCTGAATCCTGAATCCCGCCCTTACCCTCCGCCAGCCTTGAAACCCCCACCCTAATAGCCCCAAAATATCCACCCAAACCCTCCACCAGCCCCAAAATCCCCACTGTATCAGCCCACCCCGCCCCAAAACTCCCACTAGCTCCCACCCCCACCCGAAACCTCTGATCCCTATCTTTGATTGGGGAAGAGGAGAGCAAAAGGTGGTGTAGTGGCTGAGGTTGGGGTTGTTGTCATTCGTATAAGAGAGATAGAGAGAGAGAGAGAGATAGATAGAGAGGAAGAAGGGCGGTGGTCTAGAAAGTGGGTGGTGGACTGGTGGTTGTGGCCTGGTCTTGGAAGAATGGGCAGTGGCCAGTGGTAGTGACTGATAGGTACGTGAGATTTTTTTATTTGTGGATTCTTTTTTTACAATAAATATCTAAGCTTAATTAATTTTTAACTAAAGATTAATGAATAGATAGCTTCTTAATAATTAGGGTCATTTAGTTTTAAAAAATGAGGTCAAACATTTCAGTGTCGCAAAAGTACATGGCCACTGTTGTTAAAGTAAGTGTTTCAAAGGCTACGAATAATAGAATAAATAGTGTAATTGTTTGATTAAAAGAAGATGGTGTGGTGTGACTTCGTCCCTGACTTTGAAAACGAATTCCGGCGCCGATACGTTCCTTAAGGTTACACACCACTCTCACTCTAAGGCATTTTAGAGTAAGAGGTGGAGTCAAAGTAAACTTATGCCCAAAGAACAAATATGTTTAACTAATTTTGTGTATGTACATGAAAGATGAAGAATAACCAAGCCAATTTTATAAGCAAGGATGGAGTTTCAAGAGGACGAATATAGACATCAAAGGGTGATTAAATCATAATAAAGAAGTTGATTAAATCACATAAACATCGACTTTAATGGGAATTACAAGAGAATCCAAGAGATGAAGGAAGAATGTCAAAAGATGAATGTATGTAGACATGAAAAAGTCTACTCTACAACCCTCTTGTAGGCAATCGTTGTTGGCCACAACCTACTTGTAGAGTAGGCTGATTTTTCTTATAAAATAGACATAAAAAGTCTACTCCACAACCCACTTGTGGAAAAACATTGTAGGCCACAACCTCCTTATGGAGTAAACTAATCAACCTCCAAAAAAACATGGATTTTACTTTCTTTAATCCAACAGCCACCATTCAGAATTTCCTTTTTTCATAAGTATAAAACTAAAACAAACTATGTACTATTCAGAATTTCCTTTTTTCATAAGTATAAAACTAAAACAAACTATGTACTAACAAAGGCCAAGTGAAGGTGGCTGTGGCCGAGAAGTTGGATGGTGCCAATGGAGCAGGCAAAGAGAGAAGTTGGGAAAGAGATTTAAAAAAGAAGAAGAAGAAGAAGAAAAAAAAAAAAAAAGAATAGAGCTTAGGAAAATGGGAGAGAATTATCAAGTTTTCTTTGAAAGATATGGGGTACAATTAGGTTTTATAGTATAGTATCTTCAACAACAACATAAAAAAAAAAAAAAAAAAAAAAAAAAAAAAAAAGAAAAGTAAAAGGGATTATATTATAATTGAAGTTATAGGTCAAAATAGAGCTCAAATTCACTCTAACACGATTCTTAACGGAAATCAAATGGCCTACAGCCGTGGTTATGTATCTTTTGTTTCCTTTTTTTTTTACCCTCGTAAATTTATCCGAAATCAATAATTTATAATTTTCCTAAAATAATATGCCCATTTATAAAAGAATATAAAAAAGTAAGTAATGTTTTCTTTTTGAATAATAAATTCATCACTTTTATATATACTAGGGGGGCTAGTGAGCGCGATGCTCGCACATAGTTAGCCTTGTTCGAGAATCTCTTTCAATTTGATACAACTTTAGTTATAAAAAGTAAAATTTGTCCAAACACTATTTTTAAGAGTTATCTAACTTTTTAAGAGGTAAGGAAGGAAAAAAAAATAGAGCTATGCTGATAAAACCAAAAGGAAATATAAAAAAAAAATGTCACACATGCGATTCGCATGCATAAAGGGGGGTATATATGTAAATAGACTATTTAAGGAATATAGTTGGCATAACACTATTCATAAGTATTTAGTTAAACTTTTAATAAGGTAGTAAGGGATATAGTTGGTATAACAATTTTCATAAGTGTTTAGTTAAACTTTTAATAAGGTAGGGAAATCAAGTAAAATTGTCAATCATAAATATTAATAAATAGCTTAAAATAATTGGTATGTATCACAATTATATATACTCTCTAACTCTCATAATGATTTTGACTTATGTATCAAATAAATTCTTATATAAACTTCTCACACTTTGTCATTCCCACAAGTATGTAGTTGGCTTCAAGTTCAATAAAACACAAACTTTTACCTCAAAATCATGTTGAAAATAAAAATAAGTTTAGACTATATCTTATTGTCCACATAAAAAATTAAAAAAGAAAAACAACAACTCTCTGTGCTATGAATTAAAGTCATTACTACACATTGATTTTTAACGTGTACTCTATCTTGTGGTTTTATAGAGAGCAATTCAAGTTTGTCCTAAATTGTATTTTGTGGTGAAAGAAATAACAACACTTTCTCCCTATGGATGGATCTTAATCGGGACTTGTACCTCATATATTGCTATATCTCATTTTCCCCATAAAGAAAGATTAAAAAGTGTTGCGAATTACCATGATAAATCAAAAGGTAAAAAAAACAAAGCAAGAGGAAGTAGTGTTCATGTTTTTCTTTTTCTTTTTCCTTTTCTTTTAATTTTTCTATTTAAAAATGGATATACTTGTCCACAGTTAAAGTTAACCTAAAATGCTGAATTCTTACTTAAAGTATCAACATTATACAAACTAAAACTATACTAGATTTCCACTTTCCACTTCTTCCTTCCTCATCTCTTGCTCATTTCCAACCCCTTTTCCATTAACACCATTTTTATTTTTGTGGTGGACAATTTAACACCATTAACACTATACTATTATAAAGTTTTTATACTTCAATTATCATGCCGTAGTTATTATAAATAGAGCTACGCGTATTTGCTTCACTTTTCCCCTCCGATTTTCTCTCACTTACCCACTTTTTTCACACTTCTTTATTTTCAATATATTGCACTCTTATTCATCTCTATTATCACATTACATGATTCTTATGTGATTTTCATATCCTTTACTCACTTTCATTACAAAATTATAATCTTCTTGCATGGATCAACCTTTTTTCTTCTTTTTCTTCTTACAATTCTTGTTTTTCAAGGGAACTTTTGGTGCAACAATCACTACATTAAACAAGTGTGATTACACTATTTGGCCCGGTGTACTATCCAATGCGGGTAGCCCCGATATAGGATCCACCGGGTTTGAGCTCTCCTCGGGCGGGTCTAGATCTTTTCAAGCTTCCCCGGGCTGGTCGGGCCGGATATGGGCCCGAACCCGTTGTGGGCAAGATTCCACCTCGGGCCGGTGGGTTTGCTCGACAGGTGATTGTAGGACGGGTCAACTTGAGTGCACCGGGTCGGGGGCTACCACGCCCGCAACCCTTGCTGAGTTCACCATCGGGCATGGACCCACCGATCATGATTTCTATGATGTCAGCCTTGTGGATGGGTTCAATGTTCCTATGGTCATTGAGACCGAAGGAGGGTTTGATTCGTGTCTACCCACGGGTTGTGCATCCGACTTGAACCAACAATGCCCTAGCGAGTTACGGGTCGCTGAGGGCGATGCTTGTAACAGTGCTTGTGGAGCATTCGCCACGCCGGAGTATTGTTGTAGTGGCACATATGCATCACCAAGTACTTGTGCACCTTCTCAATACTCAAAGATGTTTAAGTTATCTTGTCCACATGCATATAGTTATGCATTTGATGATCCTACAAGTACATATACGTGTGTAGGTGCCGATTATACCATTACATTTTGTCCCTCTTTAACAAGGTTAGTATTACCTATTACTAAAATATACGAACTATTTTCTAAAAAATTATCTTAGTTCCAAAATAATTTAGCACCTAAAACCAATAAATCAAAAGCTTAAATTCGAGAAAGCCAGAATAACAAGTTTTAAAAAACATGTACATACATTATTGTCAAAGCTAATAATTAAACTCTAGTCCTAAGTTAATATGTCATTAGGTTAACAAAATGTTGATGAGTTAGAAACATGAAACTGAAATAATTAGGTTATGTTCAAACTTTATAATAAGTCATTAAAATCACGACTATTGTTTTAACAAGCTTTATAAAAAAAGTATTTATTATAAGAAATGATATAAGTATAACGTAGTGTTGAACAAAATTCCTTTACTATATTATATAATGTTATCTTTTATTCTTTTTATAATATTATGGCTTTTTTAGCCCAATTTTTATATTAATTTTTAGGTTTGTGCGTGAGCATCCTTTATTCCATCCATATCTTTCATATCTTCCATAAGTTAGCTTCCTTTGAAACTTTCATCCTTCCATTTGCCAAATTGGCATTTTCTATTATAAACAAAAAACTGTAAAATTTAAAGTATGTTGAACGTTGAATATGTGATAATATATTATAGAGTACTATATACAATTAAAAATATGCCGTGGCTGGATTACCGCTAATCTTATTCATTAATAATTGTAACTAACGATTTTGTGTCACTTTTAAAAATTTAATAATAAAAATATATTTGCATGTTTCTTGTTGGTGGTTGTTGACGAGGAGCTACGTGCGATATGGGATCATCTAATGAGAATGAATTGATTTAGAAATGTGAGTAAAATATTAAAAAAAAATTCTCTAACTTTTTTTAAAAAATAAAATAACATTCTTAATTTTTTATAAAATTTAATGAGTTCCAATATTTTAAAATAAGGTTAACACAACGCACAATTTTAAATGAACCATGTCATCCTTGTGTATTATAGAAATGAATTTTGGTGTGGTTCATTGCGAGTCTTTAAATATTATCTAAATATAAAAAATTTAATCAAAAGAAATAGCTTGATAGAAAAAATCCGCTTTCTTTTAATTTAATGCAAGTTCAATTCTTAAATGAATTTGTGTACTCTGAATAATATACATCTTCTAGTAACTAAGTAATTTTGAATGACTCCAATATATTGATGGTGAAAGAAACAAACTTATTTACCACATCGCGATTAATAATGGAGATATATGAGAATATATACAGTTTCTTATAGTTATAGTAGTATATAAATATAAGTGTGACATCAGCTTTGAATGTCGTATCCAAACTAATTACTATTATTGTCATGTTAAAAGAGTTCTCAAACACGCAATAAGCTATTAAATTAAAAAATGCTTTAGGGTTTAAATTTATTTATTGATCATGAAAATCTGACGCAAGGTTCTTATTTATTAAAATGCAGCCAGCAAAAATCTTCTCTTGGTGGTTCTCAATCTTCATCAATCGGATCCGGACTTGGATCCTTATTTGACAATGATAAATGTCACAAAAAAGTGTGCGTAGGAGGTGGTCAATTTTTATCAAAGAGTCCAAGCAAAATAACAAACCAATTTTATTTTGCTTGGCAATACATCACTATTTTTATTTCTACTTTAATATTATCTCTCCAATTTTTTTGCTTATAATTGCATTTTCTCTCTCTTTCTCCATGCACATACATGCAGCGTAGATCTTTTTATTTTTTAGAACTCCAATTATTGAATAATTTTTTGACCGATATTTGTAATGTAAAGTAGAAAGAAAAGAAAGAAAAAAGCGACAAGACATACTTTATGTACAGGATATTCATTATTCATATGATATGTCGTCGCAAAAGATTTGTATACGTCGATTTCCTGTGTAAAGAGATGTGTATGATCACATAAAAGTGAATGCATTCTGTTTCGGGTGAAAACAATGGGACCTTGCCGAAGGTCCGCTGAAACGGAGAAGGCTGGATTCGGTCCAAATTATGTTGGGCCGAAGGTTTCCTGCACAGTAAACACACGTAAACTAGCCTCGGGGGTGTTGCCGAGGAAGGCCCCTCCGATGCTAAAGTCAGTACAATGTGTGAGAAGAGGACACTATGCAAGAGAGTTTGTTGCTTGAGGCTTTGATGGAATATATGAGAATATATGAATGAATATATGAATGAATATCATAAATGTATCAATATTGATGGCTTTTATACCTCATCATACATGGAGAGGTTGGGCCTTAGCCCAATTGGCTTGCTTTGTGGGCTGACCTTTGACTTTAGCACAATTGGAGAGTTGAACCTTGACCTTGGGCTTTTAATTGGATCATTTAATGCCTAGGCCCAATTGGACTAAATTGGACCCAAACAACTTGCCCCCCAGACCCGATTTGGAAGGATGACGGGTCGGGTTTGATTTAATTCAGAAAAGGAGGGAAGTAAATGATTTAATTAATCCAAAAATTTGAATTTAAACCGTAATTAATGAGATAACAACGGTTAAGGCGGATGATTGTGGAAGTTGGACGGATAATGGGTAGTTTAATCACAAGATCATGTGTTTAACGGTTACTTAGTGGAGTATTTAAGAGAAATTAAAACGCAGACTCCTCGTATCCCATTCCTGGAGATATAAACAGAGGCGCGTCATCTCTCCTCACTTATTCACCAACACAAACCCAGAATTCTCGAGAGAGAAACCAAGAACCCGCATCAAAACTTCGCAAATTCCCCGAGCATTAAGCTTAGAAACTGAGACTTGCCACTACGAACTCGTAAATCGGCAACTTTCGCTTCAGATTAAGGTAAATTCCTTTGATTTCAGTTTATTTTTCTTCGAATTCGAACTCCTTCCCCTTTTCTTTCGACTTTTTTCTTCGAAATAATCAATGGCAAGAGGAGTTAGAGGTAGAGCCCGTGCTCCAAGAAGAGCAAGGCCGATTCCCGATCCTAGGAACAGGATTGGAACCTGGAATGGACAAAGGCCAGAGTCTGACCCTGCTGAAGGGATTAGGGCGACTCCCCTTTCCTCGGCTCCTCCTCAGAGAACGGAGGAGCCGAGCGCTTCTGGACGGGATGATGAAGTTCCCGCTGTCCTTTGGGATATCCTCCCCGGGTTTTCAGAATGGGAGAATGCCGAAGTTGCTTCGGCCATGATAAAGAACCGTCCCTACTCATGGTGGGTGGAGAATGCCGATCAATATCGATTTGCCGAGCAAATTGAGTTGCATTACGGCATTTTTGAAGCTGATGGGTATTGGTGCCGAATGCCCTCGGCATCCGATAGAATCCATCGTCCACCCCCGGGGTATGTGGGGGTGTACACAAGACAGCTTCAGTACGGGCTGAGGTTCCCTTTGGACGTATTCGTCCGAGACTTGCTGATCCATTACAACATCTCTCTATGTCAGTTAACTCCCACCAGCATCCGAAGGGTGATGACATACTTATGGGTCTGCAAGTTCTTCAAGTATGTGCCGAACCTGCACTGCTTCAAAAAGCTCCATCGGCTAGTGCCAAATATTCAAAGTGGGCACGGAAGCCATGGTTCTGGGTGGTACCGGATTGAGTCCCGGCCCCAATACCTAACCATGTGGCCAAACGACTCTTCAGACAAGGACTGGAGAGGTCAATGGATTTGGGTTAGGGCACCCACAGATCCGGGCCACCCTTGCGTCTTCAGCGCTCCCCGGTACCTCGCTGAGCCTGATCCCGAAATGGGAAGTCTAGGTCCCCCCGCAGATAACGAGGCGGATCCGAACCTTGATCAGCAACATATCTTCGGCAAGCTGCCGAACCGGGGGGGGCAGTGGCCGAATGCAGCATATCCCGGAGACTTGGCTCCCCGATACGCATTACGTTTTCCAAGAGAACATGCTAGCAGCTGTTGGCCTCAGCCGAAAGTTTAAGGATGGTAAGCTTCTTCGGCTGGGGCCGAGGCTTTTTAATTGTCTCTTTTTCTTCTCTCGCTTCGCTTTTTTATGCTGTGCCAACCTATCTGAACTGACCTTTCCCCTTTCCTTTTTCAGAGCGGGACGAGACCAACGTTGGCATTAACTACGCTCGTCTTGGTGTCAACCGAGAACGAGTTGTAACTGAACGGGCCCCGTCTATCACTGAGCCGAGGAATAGGGAAGTTCATCTAGACTCTTCCCACTTCCAAATTGAGGTTGTTGCTCTGTATCAGAGGTAGAAGCCTTGGTGGAAGAAGAGAGACCCCTGGTTTCAGCTGCTGGACGAAGAAGCTGAAGCTGCCCGTACAGCCGAAGAGGTTGCACGGGTTCTCGAAGCTTGCGAAGGAGGAGAAGGGTCCTCCAGAGCTGCTGAAGCAGAAGCTGCAGCTAGGGCAGCTGAAGAAGACGAGGCTTTGCTGAAGACCTCGGTGAGCTTTCAGACTTAACTTTGTCTTTCTTTTTTCTTTTTTACTCACATTCTTCCTCCCCCCTGTCTGTTACAGTCTGAAGAGAGTAACAGACATAGAGAAGGGAAAGCTCCTGTTCGTCCCGAAGACCAAATACAAGGAGAGTCTTCGGACTCAGATATGGACGAGCAGCCCCTTCAGAAAAGGCGCCGAAGGATGGCCATCATCGGCCCTCATGACTTTCAGCGGAGGCCGATGACCATCGGCGTTGCAATAAGGGAACCCGAGGAAGGCAATGGATCGCCGAGGGTTCCCCGGCCACCACCCCAATCACCTCAAAAGACCCCTCCGCCACCTCCTGAGATGGAGGTGGATCAGAGAACTCCCGAATCTAAGGGAGGGGTCCAAGAAGAAATTAAGGAGAGTGCTGCTGAGCACGAAAACAAGGATGCCGTGATGTCCAGTGCTGAGGGCTTCACGGCAGACATCGCAAGAGAGGTTGAGGCTTTCGTCCTCACACCTGAAGAAGAGGAGGTCATAGTAATTGACTCCTCTGAGAAGGATGATGCTGAGCCATCCAAAGCTAATCAAGCTCCATCGTCATCCTTCCCTTCCTTCCAGACTCTGCAATCTGGAGAAATGGGTTTCTCGGCCCCCGAATTCCAATCCCAGACCACATCTGGGACCTCATATGGGGTCAGAACCGAGAAGGAGCTGCAGCCTACTTCGGCGATTTTGCTGGCATGTCCGAAGTAGATAGGGCAAGGATCTGGTCGCTGAAGGCCACTGCTGGGATGGGCGAATCCAGCAGATCAGTTCCTGACCCAGCCAGGTCTAACCAACTGCTGATGATGCAGGTAATTTTCCTTGTCTTCATTTCCTCTGAAATTCAGCTCTATTTTTATTATTATAAATATATTTTTTTTATTTATTATTTTTTTTTTGTCTTCCTGTTTTCAGTTCGTGCACAATCAGACTCTCACTGTAGAGCTGATAGATACCCTACAAGATAGGGTAGACGCTGCTGTGCACGACAAGAAGGTAGCTGAAGAGGAATTAAAGCTTGCTAAGCTGAAGCAAGCAGCAGCTGAAGAGAAGCAGCAGAAGGGTGAGGAGTACGAGAAAAGAGCTGCTGAAGCCCTCAAAACCTTCTGCGACGCTATGGAGAAGGAAGTTTTTCCCCCACTGATGGAAGGGGAAAAATTCCTCCAGGAGCATATGGGAGTGGACGTCTCCAAATTCAAGGCTGCTGTTGAGAGCCGTATTCAGGAAGGAGCTGCTGCACAAGCTGAAGTGCAGCAACGTCTAGAAGCTCTTGAAGCCAGCCGAATGGCTGCTGAAGAGCTGCTCCAGGCCAGAGATGTCCAACTCTCAGAGGCTGCTGCTGCTGCCGAAGCTCAGAGAGCTAAACTCCATGAGGCTGAGGATCAACTGATGACCAAAAAAGTTGAAGTGGCCCAGGCTCAGACAAAGGCTTCCCAAGTTCAGCAGGAGCTGAATGAGCTGAAAGGTTCCTCCTCCAAGCTCGCTGATGAGCTGAAGAAATCCAAGGAAGACTTGGAGGAGACCCAGAAGAAGCTGGCTGATGCTGAGGCTCTACCCAAAGTCCGTGTCTATACCCAAGAGGAATATGAGATGGGTTTCAGAAACGGGTTCAGAGTATGCCGAAGAGTCTGCCTTCATGCTGAACCGAAGCTGGACTGGTCTAAATGTGCTGAATGGGTCCAGAATCCCGAAGACCCTCATATGAAGTATGCAACTCCAGTCGAAGCTGAAATTCTTAAGGCTGAGGAAGCCGAAGAGGAAGCTGAGAGAATGGAGCTGGAAGCTGAACAGAGGGAAAGGGAGGCTCGGCAGAGTGCAAAGCCCGCTTCTTCTGCTGCTGGGGCTGAGGCCACCATGGGGCCCAACGCTGATCAGTCTGATCCTCAGGCTGAAGCATAGGAACTCGAGCAGTCGTCTTCAGAATCTTGCGGTTCATCATGCGCTTAACTTTAGACTTGCCGCTTTCTGAATTTTTTGCCTTGTTTTTTGCTTCAGCTTGCCTTGTCGTACAACAGTTTATTTTTTTGCTTATGTACGTATTTCGGCAGCTGTTATTTTCCGCTTGTGGGCGGCTGCCGATACAGTTTAATTGAACTTGAAGCTCAATTTGTGAGCATGAATTATTAATCTGATGCTCTTTTCTTCAGTTGCTTTGTTTTTGAATGCTTTACTGTTTTTGTTTCTTCAATTCTGCCGAACATACTTGCACTGATAGTGCCTCTTGCCCCCCCCCCCCCAGAAATTGAAGTATGACTTCAGCTGAATAAGCAATTTCTTCATTTCTTTAAAATGGGTATCCGAAACACAGGGCCAACTGAAGGCAATGCTTCTGGGATACAAGTCTTACTGAAGATTGACTTCATCTGAAAGTTAGATATCCGAAACACAGGGCCAACTGAAGGCAATGCTTCGGATATTAGCTTTCTGGGATACAAGGCTCAGTTAAGGCAATATCCCAGAATTGTCCATGGACTCATGTCTTT